ATAATTCTCAGTATTTCTAGGGTTGGGTGACTACATGCATGACTATGCATGGTCACCGCAATTCTTCCCTAACAAATTTGGTTTAAAACTATTACCTATGAAAAGATCAACCACAACTTGGATAATACTCGCTTCCGCAAGCCTCCGCGGCACAAGTTGTCACCATTTTAACAAGGGCATTTAAAAAAAATTACGGATTTAAAAAACGCCGCCATTTAAGTTCGATTCGGCGACGTCATGCGGTGTTGTCAGTTCTGGTGCTCGAATTTCAAACTAATAAAAGAAAACCTGTACCCCAATCGCAATTTTTTGCATTAATAAAGTTTTACAAGTAGCAACAAATAACATTGCTTTAACATGTCGGTAATAAATTGTTAAAAACATTTTGAAAGTAAATATTTTTACTGCATTACATTACATCAATTGCCTATTTTTCTGCAAATAACCAAACGATTGATATCTGGCAAGACACTGTTAGAAAGGGAAATATCGGGCAATTGTAGCACACTCACTCGTTTCAATTTCTTTTTGCGTGCAACAAGACTCTTACGCCCTTAGCGTAGGTTTAATTATTTTTATTTCAACTGCAAGAGGATAGATAGAACGCACTCCTGTGGTATAGATGTACAAGATTCTATTGGCAGCCGGCAAATTTTATGAAATAAAAAGTGACATTTAATGTCAGGGTAATAATGACATAGCTTGTCAGTTCACTTCGTCTCTTTACTTTATGTATTACGAGCTGTTGCCCGCGACTTCATCTGCGTAGTATTAGAAAACATACAAACTATATAATCCAAAGTGAATTTTAATTCCTGTGCGTTTCTACACTAATTGGCATAAAAACTTTTTAATAAAAAAACAAAACCGACTTCCAAACAAAATACACTAAAAACAAAATATTCTCAAAAAAACAGTACACTAAAAAGTAACAAAATAATTCCTTGAAAATAGTAAACCTCCCTTATTGTAGCTGTTATGTCTATATTGTACAATTATTATTACATGCAGTGCATGATACATGCAGGTATGCAGTGATATTTATACGTAAGGGTTTCCACTTTTTTACCATAACAATTAACAATTGTAAATATAGTAACGTTTAAGTAATGAATCTACATTGACTGACACCGACTTCAAAGTAATAATAATTGTAGAATATAGACATAACAGTTACAATAAGGTAGGTTTACTATTTTCAAGGAATTATTTCGTTACTTTTTAGTGTACTGTTCTTTTATGAGAATATTTTGTTTTAGTGTATTTTGTTAGGAAGTCGGTTTTGTTTTTTTATTAAAAAGTTTATTTATTTCTCGATTTTTAGTGAATCTAAACATAGCAGTATGATAATCACTAGCTTTCAAACAAAGAATGAGTTATCTAAATCGATTATATAAGAAATTAAGTAAAGATCTAATACATCGTTGCTATTCACTCATAATTCTGTCCAGCCGCGCGCCGCTGTTGCCCGTGAGTTTTAATATTTTTAATAACTTCTAGAATCTTGGTTAGAATTACATACTGTAAAAGGCAATTATGATCTACATTTAATACTATGTCGTGAAAACATATTTATTTGGATAAGGATTCATACCAAATAAGAAAAAAAGCGTTTTAAATGAAGTCGACTGCATTTAATGACGGTTTTCGCGAAACAAACGGTTATTGTGCGACAACCTTAAGAGATAGCTATATGCTATGGCGGACTTTAATATAGCTAATTGAATGAGCTACAATTCTTTCATACATCATTTTTATGTAGATCTTATAGTTTAGGCTACGTAAGCCAAGAAAGCAAACTTTGTTACAAGTTGGTATTTTTTTCTGCGACTTGTAATTTGCTATTTATGATATCTCCTAAACTATTGATCGGAATTACACAGTTTCAAGGGCATTCATAATCTACATTAAATTCTCTTGACACATTTATTTGGATAAGGATTCACACCGAACACGATTTATAGCGTTGAAACTGGGGTGTAGATTTCGAGCGATATTTTAATGAAAATGTGGTTATTCGACAACCTTAATAGATAGATATATGCTATCGCGGACATTCATTTAGCAAATTTAATGGGCTACAATTCTTCCATACATCATTTTTATGTAAGTCTTATAGTTTAGGCTACGTAAGCAAGGAAAGCAAAAATGACCCTAAATTTAGTCGCGCGATTTTGAGCTAAACTATTTAACTACGTTTTTTTTTTATAACATAAGGTGGCAAACCAGCTAGCGGCTACCAGAATCCACCAAAATGGCGAAGCGACCGCTGCCCATAGACATCCGCGATCGCAGATGCGTTGCCTACTACCCTTATTCGACGGAGGAGTAGACGCACATAAAGAGGATATTGCCCCTTCCTATGCATCTCCTCCACCGTCAAATCCACTTCCACTTCCCATCCTCTCCTTATAAGAAAAGGGTGGTAAAGAGAAAAGGACTCAAATTAGGCTTCCGGCACCACACTCATCAGACGAAACACGGAATTGCTTCCATTCCACGCCTGTCTTCTGTGTGGTCGTGGTGTTACAGCGGGCGTGCCGGTCCATTCGCGCTAAGATGTTAAAGCGGGCACTACCACGTCATAGCCTTAGACTCCAAAAAACCTCCTTCTTTTGGGAATTCGGTCAAAAAAGGCTTTAAATGTTAAGTGGCGCTTATTACTCCTTTGCGAATTATCTTAACTTAAATATGTATAATAATTAATTTGAGCATATATTTTAGATGTAAAAATCATACAATATTCGAATACTGCGCTAAAAAGAATTGTACTCCGGGTGCGAGGTAAGCTCGCTACGCCAAAATGAAAGTGTTCAAAAGTAGTATCAGAGAGGTTTTCTTCAGAGTGGGAGATATTTTTATCGCGGAAAAGAAGTAGGTGGTCCAGTAATTACATTTGAAAATGTGAATCATTTTCTGTCTGTTGTGACGAAAATGTGATACCAAGAAATTTCCTTTTCTCATGGGGACGCATGTATAACATGATTAGTTTCAACAAATTGTTAAACAATAATTGACTTATAAATATTTTTCAGACAGTTGTTTTATTACCATATTAAATGTATTCATTTCAAATTGCAGTGAGCGAACCCTTAGTTGTTAGTAATGTGTTTTGTGCAACTGGAAGTATTTCCTTCATGACAAAATAAACAAGGATTTTGGTTTTTAACATACTTATTTACTAACGTAATAAGAAAATTACTGTGTGTACTCAGTAATGTAACAAACTAATTATCTAATAATTTTAAAACGCACAGTTCAAACCATAGCACATAGTTGTACTGTGTGTTGATTATAAACAACGAACATTAAGATTTCTATTATTCTGTAGATGAGATCTAAGTAAGACGATTTCTATTATGTTAAGACTATTCCTTCCCTCACTGTCTCAAGAGAGGGCATTGCTAAAAGTTTGCTACCAAGATTCTTTAACTATAGAGCCTTCTAACCGACAAAAGAAATCTGGGGCATTCCCTAGTTACATTGTAAGGTACAAGTACTTCCCTTACAATTAGCGTTTTCGCTTTCAAAAGGAAAGAATATTACCTTGCTGGTAGCCCTAAATGCTCAAAGGCGCCATTCTGTCAATGTCAAAAAGGTGCCACAAGAGCCTTGTGGCACTATATTTTATTTAGACAAACTATAAAGGTTAGCAAGGTTATATTTCCATATTTAGGGGAAATCCACATTTATGACGGAATTTCTAAACGGAGGGATGAGTTGCGGACCAGTCTCATCGATACTAATTACATTGTCGCATCTCTTAGTGAAATTCCTAAAAGGCGAATATCAAATAGGCACATAATTTCACCTGTTATCGCTGGTTCTTTGTACATGTCAGTGTATACAAATGACTTTATGCTGGCCAGTTTTACGTCTCTACATTGTCAAATATATTATTTGATATCGTTAATGACGTTTCGTGTTATATTATTTGTATCGGGCTTTTATATACATTTTAATATTTTGAAATGAGTGAAAAACTTGAGCAACAGGAATGGAGGGAGAGCAAGATGATGGTATGCCCATGTTCTAAATAAAGACATTCAACACATAGAGGTACTGTAAAAGTCCGATATTCGGTGACATATTTACCAATAGCTGTCGCCCACGACTCTGTCTGCGTGCAATACGATGCAAAACGAATTACTATCATACATATGTGTCCTTCCAGTCTATGATCTAAGCCTATGCCAAATGTCAGCGAGTTCCGTTGAGCGACCATAGAGAGACATAATTACCAACATCCACCCAGTAAATAACATTAGTAAGATTATCCCCCATTCGCACTGATGCTTTTTCATCGTTGCGATCTCACTAGTATGACAGTGGTAGAGCCCGCTTTAACATCTTCGCACGAATGGGTCGGCTCGCCCGGTGAAATACCACGACCACACAGAAAACAGGCGTGAAGTGGAAGCAACTCCGCGTTTCGTCTGATGAGTGTGGTGCCGGAGGCCTAATGAGCCTAATGAGCAATAAATGGTAAATAATACATGAAAAAGAGCATCTAGGTGCGCGGCAGTGCACCCGCCGGGGGCGAGCACAGCCAAATATTCCAAGCGCTTCAGGGCACTTTCTCACAACTTCGTTGTAGATAAAGATAGAAACTTAAAAATTTTAATCATCAATACATATACCGGAATGCATTATATAGACAAAATATCTTTTAATTATATCCAGCAGTTTACAACTTATAGCTAGTTGAAATCTTCACTTTTTTACACAAATGCGTGTTTAATCATATTTTAAAGGTACTTCCAATGGTGCTACAAACTTGAAATTTAGAATTTAGTCAACGCTTTGACTGTAGATTCTGGAGAAAATTAAAAATCTTAAAATTTATTGATTAAATAAAAATACATTTTCATTGAAAATATATTGAAATCCATGTATCTTTATTATAAATAAAGATAGACATTTGAAATTTCTAACATAAATAGATATCATACACGTTGTTATAATCGCAAAATATTTTATAATTCTAGCGTGTAGTTTACGAAATATCGTCAATTAATTCTTCACATTTTACAAAAACCTACGTGTTATCATAATTCTAAGGTACTTCTAGCAGTCCCACAAACTTGAAATTTAGAATATAGATAGAAGTCAATGTGTAATTAAAGGAAAAAATAAAAAATCTGGGAATTTATTAGTTTTTAATATAGAAAATTAGAACCATTTTAATTTGACCTCTAGTTCGAAGAATTTTCAGGTAAGGAAGTGTTCAAACTAAATTGGTTTTTAACGACAAAAAATTAATTAGGAAAACCTACAAAAAGAAGTAAGATCCCACAAAAAATATGAAATTTACAAACTGCCGAGTCTCGCTTTCCCTATAAAAGAGTGTTAGATGTCATGTAAAACCTAGTCATTTTAGTTAGTGCCTATTATGTAGCCTTGGCAATTACATAGCGCTATTAATTTTCAAACTAAAATACGTTATTCTCGAGAGACTTGCCTAGGTTTGGATAAAAATGGTGGCGCCGTGTAGTTGCCAAGGCTACATAATAGGCACTAACTAAAATGACTAAGTTTTACATGACATCTAACACTCTTTTATAGGGAAAGCGAGACTCGGCAATTTTTTATATTTTACATATGATTTTCGTATGATTTACTGTAATTAGGGCATTTAGAGTAACATTTGAACATATTTATTTCAATAAAAGATTAAAAACCTGTACCCAAATCTTTGTTCATGAAGGACGCAGAAAACAATTCGACGTCAGATTCAAACGACAGTACTTTGCCTCTGAAAACTAATGCCGCACGAACATTCAGAGATGGCGTTCGTAAAATTGATCTGATCCTAGTTGTGAAAGATGAGGAAAACATCATAAGTGACATCATAAAAAATAATTTTCTCACCAACATTGTTAAAACTGGATTTGAAATTGAATTTGAAAATGGTGTAGTAAGTAACTGTTTTCTTATTAATATTCTATAGCTCACATTTATTGCCGATGTCTTTTTACTCATACATATCTGCGATTGTTACTTATGTTTCTGTTTATTTTAGTTGCCAAAACACCGAAAGCTAGTATTTTTTAAAATACATTGCCCGAATGATGTTCTCAATAATTTGGGAAAAGCTTTTGGGGTAAAATGCGTTCAGAGTGCTCGATCCGAACACATAATGTCAAGCAAAGAACGAGAGTGGATAAATTTAATAAGGTACATATAGATTATTAACAGTTACATATAGATTACAACAGTAGTAGTGCCCGCTTCAACATCTTAGCACGAATGGGCCGGCACGCCCGGTGTAATACCACGACCACACAGAAGACAGGCGTGAAATGGAAACAATTCCGTGTTTCGTCTGATGAGTGTGTTGCCGGAGGCCTAATTTAAATCCCTTTCTCTTTACCACCCTTTTCTTATAAAGGGAGGTTGAGAAGAGGAAGTGGATTTGACAGTGGAGGACATGTATAGAAAGGGGAAATATCCTCTTTATGTGCGTCTCCTCCTCCGTCAGATAAGGGTAGGCAACGCATCTGCAATTGCGGATTTCTATGGGCAGCGGTCGCTTCACTATTTTGGCGATTTGGTCGCTTGCACGTTTGCCATCTTATGTTATAAAAAAAAATTAAAAAGTTTTTATAAATTTTATGTGAACTGAATACAATGTATAGACATAAGCCTACTTCCAACAAACAGCAATTACATATTTATGAATATCGCATTTTCTCGTAGAAAGGAGTACACACAACCATTACAATACACGAGCTTGGAGAGAAGCCTCGTAGTTTATATGGCATTGCTGACCGTTCCATTTGGAGACAGACAAAACTACATAGGGCTGGAAAGGTAAGAGCTGCTTTATTTAATGTACGAATACGTAGTACAAATTAAACACAGGTCACGACGAATTTTTGATCAAAACAATGTTTATAGGCTAATGAAACGCAATATTGTGGTAGATGCATACGCATTACATGACGGACCGTACTACATTCCACAAGACGCTTCAAGGATTAATGCTCGTCAGGTAATGTCAAACTCGCTTACGACCACCAAACCAAAGAAACACATTCACTTGTGTTCTTCTCACAAACTGTTTTATAATGCGTAGTTGTGGCACTATCATAATAAAACGTAAACACACACTACTTAGTTATGTAGGATGTCAGCAATCACAGTAACTATATTTTTAGTAGATCCTTTTTTAGTAAAACGTCTTTCACTTATGACACGTTTTAGGCTAAATATGTTCACGCTACTAAACTTAATGAGTAAATAATTTGGAAAGAACCGTCATATAGGAAAAACAACATCACGGAAGCAAGGTTGCCATGGTAACGGTAATTGTTTTCTAATGTCAAAGGCCTTCGTTGTCATTTGTGAATTTGAGTTTTGACATTTGAAATCGAAAATATCACAAATGTAAACTATAGAATAATGTTTTTGTAATTCCATGCGGATGTAGCCTCACCGGAACATTTACTAGTAATATAGTACTTATTTGTTCCTTTTTTATCATAGTACCATTTTAGATTGATGACAAGTTGCGCCAACTTTGGAATAGAACGCCGTGGTACACTTGATACTTTTTTTACATAATAGCAGTAGCATGTCAAAGTTGATTAAAAGTTAAAAAAATTCCAACATTTCATGAAAGCAATTAATCACTTTTTTGCGGTTAAAATGAGGATGGCTTGGTACTATTTTACTACAAATAATAGCATTGTTATTAAGTACCAACCCGCACTTTTCCAGCGTGGTGGACTATGTCTTAGTTAGTAGTGGGGACGTACATATACGAGTAAAGCGAGTTGATGATGATTCAAAAGTAGGTAATACAAACATACAGGGATATGTTCATATCTGCAGCCACAGTATCTAATCACATGGTTAAATTGTTTAAACTATCGTGAGACATTACTTTAAGCAAAAATTAATAAAAAAACGGCTCAACTCACGCTTTTATCGTCTGGTGACTGCACCGACTAGTTTCAGACCCTTCGGGGGTCTTTCTTTAGGGCGAGTATTAATGAACTTTTGTTCGCGGTCACGTCGCGCCTCGCACTGCGGGCCAATTATATTAATTTTAACAACAATAGCGACACTTCAATATTTTTGAACCCGTCGCCATCTCCGTCGCCGAAGCACGAACGAAACGCCGGCCACAACGCTCCCAGCGCCCCCCTTTCCTTCGAGCCGCGCCCTCCGTGCCCTGGACCGCAGTGGGAGGCGCGACGTGACAGCAAACAAAAGTTAATTAATACTCGCCTTGAAGAAGGACACTCGAAGGGTCTGAAACTAGTCGGTGCCGTCAAAAAGGACGATAAAAGCGTGAGTTAAGCCGTTTTTAATTAATTTTCGCTTAATCACATGGTGTAGTGCATGAAATAACAAATACATTAAAAAAGTTCATGAAATTTTGACAAAAAGTCTTGGTTTTTATTAGTTACCTTTCTTTTATGCTTAATGATTAAAAGTACTTTGAACTTCAGATTCAATGAAGAGTTTTTATTGTTTTAGATCCTGTTTTATAATTGGGCTGGTATGACCAATATGTTTACCAGACAGCCATTAACCTTGGTGCATGAATACTTTGGACTCAAGGTAAGTTGTGACACAAACAATCTTCATATTAGAAAAAGAGGTTTTGAAGTAATGATGAATCCCTCATATCTACTTTCTCTTGCCTCCCCTTTATGAATGAGGTGGATTGAGGCCTACTCAAACCGCTCCTTGCTCCTCCTAAGGCGAGGTGCTTTACTACACCTACAATAAAGATTCTACTGTTCTACATATAGTCCTTTTTTAAGTCGGTTAAACAACTTCGCAGTGGTAGAGCCCGCTTTAACATCTTAGCACGAATAGGTCGGCTCGCCCGGTGCAATACCACGACCACACAGAAGACAGGCGTGAAGTGGGAGCAATGCCGCGTTTCGTCTGATGAGTGTGGTGCCGGAGGCCTAACTTTAGTCCCTTTCCCGCCCCAAACTTTTCTTATAAGGAAAGATTTGGATGGGAAAGTGGATTTGACGGTGGAGGAGACTCATAGGAAGGGGAAATATCCTCTTTATGTGTGTCTCCTTCTCCATCGATTTAGGGTAGGCAACGCATCTGCAATTGAGCATGTCAGCGGTCGCTTCGCCATTTCCGCGGATTCAGGTCCCGCTTGCTCGTTTGCCACCGTATTATATAAATAAAAAAGCGTTTTTACCGCAAAAATGCAACAAGTATTAAGGACACTATAGAAACTACAAACATCGTTAACTCCGAGATACAATTCTTGAATCATTAAATACTAGTAAAGTCTTTTATCTCATTGCGATTTTCCACTCTTTTTGGCCGACTTCCCAAAAGAAGTCTAATGGACCGATTTTGATAATTCCTTTTTTGACCGACTTCCCAAAAGAAGGAGGTACTGAATTCGTCTGTATGTTTTTTTTATGTATGTTACGGCATATCTCCGCCGCTAGTGGACCGATTTTGATAATTCTTTTTTGATCCTAAAGGTAATGCTTGCAGATAGGTCCCATTTTTTTGGTTGATTTTTGGAGTCAAAGACTACGACGTAGTTAAATAGTTTAGCTCCGAATCGCGCGACGAAATTTCGGGCCATTTTTGCTATCTTTGCTTACGTAGCCTAAACTATAAGACTTACATAAAAATGATGTATGGAAGAATTGTAGCCCATTAAATTTGCTAAATAGAAGTCTGCGATACATATATCTATCTCTTAAGGTTGTCGCACAATAACCGTTTGTTTCGCGAAAACCGTCAAATAAATGCAATCGACTTTTTCTTTCATTTAACTTTTATTCTTATTTGGTATGAATCCTTATGCAAATAAATATGTTTTCTCGATAGTGTTGGTGTTCAAAACTGATTCTACTGATTTTTCTAGTGGACTGTATTTAAATAAAAGCTGGTTCCGGTACAAACAATATATTAAGAACTGGTAATTACAAAATAGTTAAAAGAACAATATGAAAACTAAAA